CCCATCCACTTGGAAACCCAGTTTTAAAAGATGTCACACTAGTGCTCTTTTCAAATGGAATTGTCTTTCATCCTTTCTGTAAAGAACTCTCATATCATACAACTGGCATTCTTTTATAAAGCAATTAAATTAGACCAAATATAAGACTCATAATGTTAGCATTTGTTAAAAGAAATGAGACAGATTTGTGGATTAATATCAAAGCACATGTGTTTTACTTTTGAAGTATCTAATACAAAGCCTCTCTGATACAAGCCGTATTTAACTTTGGACGAGTTTTCTGGAGGCAAAATAAAACATTCTCTACATTAGGTTCTTTAGCTTTTTCATATACAGGCTCGTCTCCAGTGCTTCCATTGAATTCTCCACTAAGATTAAACTGTTCTTATTTTTATATCTCCTGAAACCCAGGAAAACAAGAAGAAAGGGAAGGAGGAAGCAACTACTTTCACATTAAAAAAAAAAAAAAAATCTAAGCTAAATTGCAAATAGGAGCAGCTGATAAGAGATGTGTATCTCCAATTGCACAGGACTCTTTGGCCTGGTACTGACACATTACTGTCTTGGGGAAAGGGGCCAGGGAGGTGCCTAGGAAGAGCAAAGCAACTGGATATCAGCAGCCCAACAGGGGCAGAGGAGTTAATCTCTTTGGATACCCAACAGCAGGAAGTCATTACATCATAGGCCTTTCCACATCTCTCTCCCTACCACGTGTCCCGTGCCCCAAGAGGATGATAAGGAACGGTAGAGAGTCTCTCTTCGGGTTCATTTACAGGTAGAAGCCATTAGGGCCCGGCCAAGCCCCCAAACCTCCTCCCAATCGCCAGAGTGAATGAAGCGCAGGTCCCCACACCAGAGCCCTTCCCTCAAACAGTGCCAGAGTCCAGGCCTCGGCGGGAGCAGATGGTGCAGCCAGTCTGGATTGAGGTGGCCAGATCGGCCGGTTCGAGGCCCCAGAACATTTCAGAAGCAGCTAGTAAGAAGCAGATTTACTGGAGCGACATCTCTGAGAAGGAAAGGTATCAATACAGGCAAGGAAAGGAAGCCGTCCAGGAAGAGGTTTGCAACCACTACTTTTTCTAATGGGATCGATGTGCCTGTAGCAGTTAACACCCACAAGCTGAAACTTGGACCCGAAGGTTCTCATTCAGCTAGTGACGACACAACATGCTCCTGCGACAGACTGGAAACCACACATCCAACCCCTCCTCTGGACACTGCGTCCCAAACACCCCCCCCCACACACCTCTCACTCCACCTACAGCGCCCGCATCAGACCCCCACTACGGTAAACTCTACTCCAAAGTTGGCTGCAGACCTACCTTCTCGGCGCTGTCCTGAGAATCCAGCAAATGTACTCCTGTCCGTTCGCCCTTCCCTCGCCGGCGTCCCCTGCCCCCTCTCCTCACCTGGCCATGCCCTAGGCCTCTGGGAGCCTCCTTCCCCCCTCCGGGCCGTCCCCAGGTGCCCCTGCTACAGGAGTCAAAGAGAACACCCAAAGCCTCACAGTGAAGGCTCCCCCTGCCAACCCCTTGCCCTGGAGCCCGCAGGCGCGCTCCGACGAATCCGAGGGCGCGTCTCGCGCTGCGCAGGAGGCCCGGCGGGTCCTGCCGCCAGCCCGGGGTGGGTACGCACCTTCCAGCCGGCAGAGCTGTTGCTGTCGCCCTTATCCTTGAAGTAGGGCACGCAACGCACCATCCACTCGTAGATCTGGGACAGAGTGAGCCGTTTGTCCGGGGAGCTTTCGATGGCGCGGGTGATCAGGTCCGCGTAGGACAGGTTTCCCCAGGCGTTCCGCCGCGACGAGCATTTCCTCGGCTGCCCGGAGCCCCCAGCCGCCCCCGGCTGCGGCGGTGGCAGCGGCTGCTGAGGCTGCAGCAGCGCCTGTGTACCCCCGCTCAGAGCGCCCGCCGCGGTGGCTGGCCCAGACCCGGGGTCTTGCCCTCCGGGTGCCAGCACCCGGGCCGAGTCCTCAAGGAGCAGCCCGGAGCCCAGCGTGCCGCTCCCGCCGCCGCCGATCGCCATGGCCGAGCCGGCCCGTCCCCCGCCGTCCTCGTCGTCTTCATCGTCCTCCTCCTCGGGGATCATGGAGTCGGCGGCCGTCTCCCCCGAGGGCTTAGCAGGGCTCGCTTGGAGCTCCGGCCTTTGCAGGGGCCACGTACAGGAGCGCGGACGGCTCTGGGGCTCGAACTCCGGGTCCAGCTCCACTTCCAGCGGAGAGAGCGGGGCCGGGGAGGCCGGTGCCTCTGCCATCTTCGCCGCCCGCCCGCGGCTGGGGCTCTCGCGCTCTCCTCTCGCGCCGGGGCGGGGTGCGGCGGGGGAGGGACGTGGGCGCCGCGAAGGCTCCGGCTCCCGGGCGCCGCCGCCGCCGCCTGGGGAAGCACCAGAGGAGAGAGAAGGAGAGTTGGTTATCCCGGGCCGGAGCGCAGTCCTCGGCGAGTCCTCGCCCGCCGCCACTACCTCCCAGCCTTGCCGCGCCCGCCTCCCAGGAACAGGCGGACCTGGAGACGTGCGGCCAGCGAACCTGGCGCAGCAGACACCGCCCCCTGGCCAGGCCGCGGGGGAGCCGCGAGCGAATCGACGGCCTCGCGCGGGGCAGCCCCCTCCCCCCGCGGCCCGCCGCAGGTCCCTCCCGGGCTAGGCGGCGGGGCGGGGAGAAGGGGGAGGGGCGCCCGGGGGAGGGGCGGCCGCGCCTTTAAAGCGGGCAGCGGCCGGAGCTGGCGCAGCCGAGCGGCGGTCAGAGCCCGAGCTCGGGCGTGCGTGCGTTTGTTTATGTTTCGCTCGGGCCCGCTCTAGTGCCTTCCGCGGCGCCGCCGCTCAAGTCTGTGCTGTCTTCGGCTCTTCTCCCCTTTCCCGGCCCAGCTGCCTCCGCGACCCCCCGTCACCCCTAACCCGGTCGAATGGCCCGAGCCCGGGGACTGCGCGGGCAGCTCCCTCTCCTCTCTTCGTCCGCGGGGCGGAGGGCGAACGGGGGTCTGGGCGCAGATGGGCCCTTGTCACTTCCAAAAAATAAAGGAAACACGGAAAGAAGGGGAAGGAGCAGCCCGGCGGGCGTTCGCAGAGGGTCGAGCCCGGCAGGGACGGCCACTTCGGGATTTTGTGTGGTTTGCATTCTCGCGGACGTCGTCCCCTCCGCCCCCTTCCCAGTCGGGATCCGGGGGAGGGAGCGAGTCGGAACATAAATCTTCCAACAGGTCGGGAAGCGCCAAGTCTCCCGGGCTGCTAGAAAACCCGGACCAGCATGTTCATCACCTCCTTGCTCCCGCTGCTGCCATCTTGACAGTTTCCCCCTTCCCTTGAGTCCTTTAAAAACACTAGCGGGCGAGAAGGGGGGCGCGCACACCGCGGCTCGGGGAGGGGAAAGGGAAGCGCCCGGCCCAGCTCGGAAGCAGATCCGGAGTCACCGGGAAGGCGGCCGCCCGCTGCACGGCTCCGGCGCCTACCTCGCTTCCTTCCCTTCAGGGACGCGGCGGGACGACGCACGATCCCGCGCGGGCCCGGGGCACGGCGAGGAGGGGGCGCGCAACCTCGGCGAAGGAGGAGCGCTCGGGCCGTCGCCGCAGCCCGCCCGAGGAACCGCCTGTCAGCTCGCGCGCCGCCGCCTTCCACATTCCTCCTCCTCCCTTCCACGAGCAGGGCGGCCGCAGCAGCAGCACAAAGTTATAGACACACGCAGGGCGCCTCAACCTAAGCTGACGGCGGGCGGGCGGGCGGGTCCCCGCCCAGGGGGAGGGCTGGGCGGCGGGCTGGGCGCGCGGCGGGCGTGTGTGTGTGTGAGTGCGCGTGTGTGAGCTCGCGCGCGCCTGCGCGGGCCAGCTCCGCGGGGCTGCGGGCGTGGGTGTCCGGGAGCGCGCCGTGAGCCGGGATTCGGCGGGCTCCCGCTGCTGTCCCCGCTGGGCTCCTCCTCCCTCCCGAGAGCCCCAACGACAACAAAGCGCGGCGTTGGCCCGGGAGAGGAGGGAGAGGAAAGAGAAGCGGGAGCTGCAGGAGCGACAGCCTCCGACGCTCCAAGGAGCGCAGCGGCGTGGCCTCCCCGACTCCGGGCAGGGCGCCTGGTACCAGGGTCCCCGACCTGCGCGTCCGCCCGCCCGGCTCTGGGCCAGCCCAGGTGTCCGGTTCCCTGTTAGAACCCGACACTAGGTAACACCCGAGGTGAGATGCTGGGCGTGGATGGCAAGGTTTACCGCGGCGTGGAAATACTGAACGGCGAAGATGTTGGCGCCTGCACAACTTCGATAAGCTGATGCTCACAGATTCGATCAGGCACCAAAAGGTTTGCACTGAATCTCTCGCCTCGGACGGTGGACCACAGTCGTGTTTCACTTTTCATGTGTTTCATGGCAAACGGGGGAGAGGTGTAACTAACTCCGAAGAAATGCAAATTTACCCCTGTCCTACATTCAAGAGCAGATTCCGAACAATTGAGAAGGGGAAATAATTTTAATCTAATTTGTAAATGACGACAAAACCGCTACGTGTGCATTTTTGACTTTAAAAAAAAATACGTATCCTTTAGGTTAAACAAAAAACATCTGCACAAGTCCTTTTTCTACGATCCGTGCCCCAAATCGTTTATTTGTACTCTACGAATGCACTACACGCGACATGCACACCAAAAGTCTAGACACTAGTTCATAAATATCTTTTTTTAAAAAATCCTTGTAAGTCACCAGAGATAGCTCAGAGTCTAGAAGCGGGCTCCTCAACGACCCCATACACAAAAAGGTCCAGCCCAGCGTACACAGGAGCCAGCCCGCCCCGCCGCCTCCGGGCTCCGGGCTTTGCGCAGCGCCCGTCACTCAAGTGACGCGCGGCCCCGCCCCTGCACCAAGCTAGTTCGACGCGTACAAACAGATGATGTCATCGTCTCCACACGCGCGTGACCCCGGAGCTCTCCGCCGCGTCGCCATTCGCTGCGCGGCTTACTCGTCAAGGCACGCCGCGTGCTTACTGGCCGCGGCTACCAGTCTCCAGGCCCCAGACGCCCCTCTCCGCCCCCCGCCCCCGCCCCCCAGCAAATAATAAACAATCGAGTAAAATTCTAAGGAAGGAGAGAGAGGAGAGGGAAAAAGGGAGAGGGCGCACTAGAAACCAATCCTTCGCCCGCTGGCGGTGGGAGGGCTCAAGGGGGGACGCGAGAAGACAGCGGACGGGAGGAAGGGAGCCGACCTGGGACCCTGCGGCCGCCGGCGACAAGGAGGCGTCGGGGGCGGAAAGTTGCAGCGCACTCGACTGGGTGCGCCTGGCGGGGTAGGGGGCACTAGGGCCTGGAGCGGCTGGGCTGGGGGCTCGTGGGCGGGACGCGACCAGCCGAGGGGGCGGGGACTGAGCGGCGCCGGCCGACACGTGCGGGAGGAGGGCGGGCGCGCGCGCTGCACACGCTGGGCCCGAGCGCGCGGCCTCGGTAGCCGCGCGCGCTTGTTTACCAGCGCACGTGGGTGTTATTTTTAAATGGAATGTGGCGCTGGCTGCGCTGCCGAGTGGCGGGCGCGTGGGGCCGCCCGCGCTGGCTGGGGGACGCGGCGGGGCCCGCGGCGCGGCCTCTCCGGGCGCTGCTCGCGAGACAGCCAGGCTGTCCTCGCTGCGCGCCGCTGGCGTAGCCGGCGGCCCGGGCCGGGGAATCTGAGAGTTTCGCGCGCTGCCCGAGCCGCGGCGGTCTCCGCCGCGGAACGCCGCCGTCTTTGCGCCCAGCTCGGCTCTCGCATTCACATTCAGGGAACAAAGCCTCCTGCTTGTGCTTCGCCCAGGAGGCCGCGCCAGTCCGCGGCCACGGTTTCTGGAGCAGATCTCACACGCGCACACACTCACTGGCACACATATTTTGGCCGCGAGAGGGACCCTCAGCACCCTACGTGCTCTGTGTCCTCGCTTCCTTGTACCGAATTCCCCCGGTCAACATGTGCCTGTCTCGTGGGCATGCGGCTGTGCCCACTAGAAATGCGCTTCTGCTATTTCGGGTTGCCCTTGGAAGGGGAAGTCTGGGGAAGGGGTCTCTGACTGCTTACTGGGATTGCTCCTCACGAGGCACCTCTCCTCTCCTTGTAGGCCTGTCCCACTGAGAAGCCCCGCGTTTGCATTTGGTTTACAGCCTGGGAGTGTGGAGTGTGATGTACGACCACAACTCGGCTTCAAGTGCCAGTGCTTGGGGTACAGGTTGGGTATGGTGGTATGGTGGTGGTTAAAAGCTGGTATTGAGCTTTGCACGAAGAACTGGGAGGCTAGATCACCCAGGGCCGCGCATCGTGATGCAGCATAAAATTCCAAGAATTTTCCGTTGCTGGTTTAAATACTTGTAACACTGTAGAAGAAATCCACGCGTTTTCTTCTCTAAATTTAAGCAATCTTTTGTCATTAGAGTGTAGACCTGCAAAAGTAGAAATAATGTGTTTACAGTGGCTGGGCTCTCAGCCATTAGATTTTCAGTATAAACATGTTGAGTGTCCATTTACAGAACGCATATCCCAGGGGCATTCCAAAAGAGTGGAAGAGTCAAAGATTCAGTAGATTAACACAGCATTGTGAGCTTCACAGTGAGGAATGGGGGACGGAGGGGCAGGCACATGATAAAGCCATTTCCCTTGAAGAGCTTACTTGAGGGTATGAGACATGTTAAAAAGAAATATTGCAAGTTTAAAAATAGTAGAAGGCGGGGTGCAGTGGCTCACACCTGCAATCCCAGCACTTTGGGAGGCTGAGGCGGGAGGATGCCTTGAGCCCAAGAGTTCGAGACCAGCCTAGACAACGTGACGAAAACCGGGTGTCTACAAAAAATACAAGAAGTCCCAGCTATGGGAGGCCGAGGTGTAAGGATGGATCGCTTGATTCCAGGAGGTCCAGGCTGCAATGAGCCATGATTGTACCACTGCATTGCAGCGTGGGTGACAGAGTGAGGCCTTGTCCTCCCTTCCCCACCACAAAGGAAAACAAAACAGCAACAACAAAAAAACAGTAGAAGACAAATTCAAGAGGTCATATGTAGAGTGTTGAGTAAGTTTCAAGTGAATTGAAGATCCAAAGCTTCATTTGGAAGTGACTGTAAACTTGCAACTTTGTAAATGTGCACCTTATACCCTTGTAATTCGTGCATATGGGCAAACCTTTGAAAACTCAGAGGTTGAATCTCAGAGATTGTTCTCTTTTAGCCACAAATTGCCTTGACCTTTGCCTTCCTCTAGTAGGCCTCCTTGTTCCTTCTCCATTTCTTCCTACCAGAAGTTATGGTTGTTAATTGAGAGGAAATGCCAGCATTCCCTTCAAGGCAGAATTTTTGGTCAAAACTTTTCCCACCTCTTATTGAACAATTTTATGCCCTATTTATTTCTATTAATAATTTAAGGTGGTGCTTGTTCACTCTATTTTGCAAATCCAGTCACTGGAGGGACAAAATTTAAGATGTTTACCTAAGTAAGCTGGGTAAAATCACCATTTCAAACACCTAGTTGTGAGGGGATTCGTGGTAGAGGCCAGGGCTCTCCCTCTGAGGGGGCACCACTCACTCAGCACCTGTATCCTAGCCTAGTTCTCCTTGCACCTAGGCCAGCTGGAGCCTCCATCTGACCCCAGAGCCCACATTCTAGGAACTGAGCCTACTGCTCTTCAGCAAGTGCACATTTTCCTCTTGGGTTGACTTCTGTGTCCATCTCAGTGAAGACAGGAAACCAGTAGGACGAGGTTCCTAACGAATATGTGACCCATCTGGTATAACTGCTCCCCAGTCTATGTCTGACACCCTCATTAGTCTCTTTCTCTGCTTACCCTCTCCTCAGCAAATTACTTTCATGCAGTGTGTCTTTATTCAATACTGTGTACCAAAGAGCTATGAGCTGAGGCTCGCCCCTTGGGGCATCATTCCAGACAGGTTTCATCACCATGCTCTCCACAAGTATCTGCAGCTCCTGTCCTCTCTCTTCCCCTTTCTTCCCTGGACATGACAAACCCTGGCAAAGCGTCCCCTAGGTTGTTACAATGACTGTCTGTGGTGCATTTGGAGGGTATGTATGCTTTCATCGTTAAAAAAAGCCGGAGTTCCACAAAAGAGTGAATATTTACCTGAAATGGAATTGGATAGAAGAGAAATTGGGAAAAATTCTCTGTTTTGGTAATAGGAGGTAATTATACTTGTCATTACCCAACCTTGAATTGTCAATAAGTTGCAGGTCCTGAACTAAGCACTTTATTTGCAGTGCTTAGACCTCACAAAGACCATGTGAGGTACATAAAATAGTGCTAAGTGGCATGGGGGGTTAAGAATTCAGGCTCTGAATTAAGTCTGATTCCTCATTTGCCAGCCATGTGACCTTCAGATGTTACTTAACCATGGAGCCTCAGGTCCTCATCCTTAAAATGAGAATACTTTCTAAGATTGTTGGAAGGATTGGGATAATTGAAATTATGAATCGAAAGCACTTAGTATTAGAGTACTAGGGAGTGCTTTAAAAATAGTCATGCCCAGGCTCCACCTTGGACCAACAGAATTAGAATTTGTGAGGGTAGGGTTGGCATTGATTGATTGATTGATTGTTGTTATTGTTGTTTTTAAATATTTGCCAGGTGAGTCTAAGGCAGTGAAGGTTAAGAACCCTGAGATAGAGGTCTTTCTACTGCACACGCCAGTGTTTGCCTTCAGCTCTGACCCTCTGGTTCCTGCTTAGAATGAGGACAGAGCCATTAACTGCCTACACACAGGGGGCAACTTCCATACACAAAACATCTTGGTTTATTTCTAGAACAACCTACCCCAGCAGGGACCATCCTTCTCTTTTTACCAGGATTTGCCTCAGGTCACACAGTGAGTGGCAGGCCTAGGATTCGAACTGATGATTCTGAATCCATGGCACATTCTCCTGCTCCCCAACACTGCACTGCCTCTCCAAAACGGGCCTGAAGAAAGGGGGCTTTATTTGAGCCTTTTGGCCTAGAGAAAAGGGCCTGGAACCAGATAAGCAAACATAACCTGAGACACTTCCCCGACCTGTCTAAAGCTAGTGGTTATCTCGCCAAATCTGCCCCAATAGGGTTAGTTTTTGGTTCTCTCTGGTATTTTTCAAATTTTTCCTCTCTTGAGGTCAGGAATTCAAGACAAGCCTGAGCAAGATAGCAAGACCCCCATCTCTAAAATCTTTTAAAAGTAGCTAGGTGTGGTGGCATGCACCTGTAGTCCCCCAGGTGCTTGGGAGGCCGAGGTGGGAGGATCACTTGAGCCCAGGAACTCAAGGCTGCAGTGAAATATGATTGTGCCACACTGCACTACAGCTTGGATGACAGAGAAAGACTCCATCTCTTAAAAAAAAAAAAAATTTATTAGTCTGTTGCCAACGTTTAAAAGGAAGAGATTTCACCTAAAATTTGGATTTCTAGTTCTTCTTGAGAAGAAGATATGGTAACAGTGGCCCTATACCCACAGGGCAACAGTTAGCTGGTATGTGCTCTAGTTAGTTCACCTTTTCATCATCAGCCTCTGTCCACTGATCTCTGGGTGACTTAGCTACCCTGATTTGTATCTTCTACCTCCACAGTGGCATTGACCCACTCCAGTTCATGAGAGACGACTGTGCACATCCCTTGGTAGTTTGAAATGGACTATTATGGGAGTATTTGCACAACAGAAATTGGCAAATACTAACCATCAAGGCTTGCTTGCTTTTTTTTTTCTTTCCTTTTCTTCTTTCGGAGGGCCAGTCTGCCAGCACACCACTGCCCCTACTCCACTCAGCCACTGTCTTGCCTTCTGAGGAAGAAGATTTGTTCTGTATAGAAAGTAAAGGAAACAGAAGCACTGGAGAAACTGTACCTCGATTCTGCTTAGCAACTGATTATACATTATCTAACCTTGTTTTTAAAGTACTTCAATTTAACACAATGGAGCAAATAACCAGAACAAACTTCCTGATGAAAACTAAAGCTGGATAAGATTTACAAATTTTTTTTTTAATGTATTTTATTGAGCTGGCAAAAAAGCAAGAAACCCAGAGAGACCAAAAACAAAGTTAAGGTGGGAAGTGAGCACACTCCTAGAAAATCTGACAAACAACATTTGAACTTCTACTTTGACAGGTGTGCAGAGTCTGGGACACAGAAGATAAATCCTCAGTCTTGTCCAAGATCAGGAGAATAAGAAGACTCTACCCTCTAAAACCAGGAGTCCAAAGGGCCAAAGGAACGGTGAATGTGAAATTAACCTGCTGTGCAGAAGAGGATCCCAGGAAAAATCGTCTGTCTTGATCAAAGTCCTGAATAAAGGAGTATAAAAAATTGTCTTCCTTGAGAATTCATAACTATGGTGTGGTCCATATGTAATATTATGTCCCAAATTCATGATACCATGGAATTATTTTAAAAACTTCATGAGCCCCAGTTTGTGGTGCTTTTAACAACTGGCAGAAGGAAAGACACGTCCTCTTGGAGGGCTATCTTGAACCTAGGCCCCAAAGAATTTCCATAATCATAATCAGAAAACACAAAACATATAATAAGCAAGGCTCCATGTAAGAGCAGACAGAAACAAAATATAAGGTCAGATACACAAAGGCTTGGGTATGAGAATAAGCTGACACAGAAAATAAGTGTATCTAATAGGTTTAAACAAATAAAAAGGAAGTTTGAAAATAGAAGAAAGGAACAAGAGTCTATAAAAAACAACTGAGTAGATTTGAAATCAAAATACTTCTTTGTTTTTTTCCCAACTAGATATTATGTCCTTGAAGACACAGGGATCAGGCTAAACACTTTATATGTTATCATTTGTCAATTGAAGGAAGTTAGAAACAAACTACTCAATTTTTCTTTGAAACCCAGCAGTAAGAATGAGAGTTGTGACTAAATTTTTAAAATGTAAATGTAAAAACTCCTGTTGGAAATTCCAATCAATCTCTTCTAGAGGAAAGGAAGACAAAGTAAGAATTAATGCGATGCTTCTGGCTGACTGGCCTCCAGCAAATGGCATTGAGCTTTGTAAGTGGTCCATTTACTCTGTTTCTCATCTTGCAAAAACTTGTGACGTGAGCATGTGTCCATGTCCACTTGTGAGAAAATCTATTTAAAATGTCAGCTGGGCGCGGTGGCTCACGCCTATAATCCCAGCACTCTGGGAGGCTGGGGCGGGAGGCTCACTTGAGGCCAGGAGTTCGAGACCAGCCTGGCCAACATGGTGAAACCTCATCTCTACTAAAAATCCAAAAAGTAGCAGGACTTGGTAGTGCATGCCTGTAATCCTAGCTACTCGGGAGGCTGAGGCAGGAGAATCACTTGAAACTGGGAGGCAGAGGATGCAGTGAGCTGAGGTCATGCCACTGCACCCCAGCCTGGGCGACGGAGCAAGACTCTTAAAAATAAGTACATAAATAAATACAATGCCTAGTAATTGGAACTTTAAATACAAATTGCTTTAAAACATTGATGTGGGACGGGCACAGTGGCTAATGCCTGTCATCCCGGCACTTTCGGAGGCCCACGCGAGCGGATCATGAGGTCAGGAGTTCGAGACCAGCCTGGCCAGCATAGTGAAATCCCGTCTCTACTTAAAATAACAAAAATTAGCCGGACATGGTGACAGACGCCTGTAGTCCCAGCTTCTTGGGAGGCTGAGGCAGGAGAATTGCTTGAACCCGGGAGGCAGAGAATGCAGTGAGCCAAGATTGCGCCACTGCACTCCAGCTTAGGCAACAGAGCGAGACTCCATCCCTGCCCCCCCCCCGCCAAAAAAAAATTGATGTGATACTTCAAAGAAAGCAAGGCCATGTGGAACCATTCGTTACTCTGCAGAATACATTGCATCTCCCTGGTTTGGCTCGGCATGTCCACTTATGTGTAAAGTTTCCTGGAATAACCTGGTACTAAAGCCCCCCAAAGGATGTGATTTGGGGCTCCAGGGACATTAAATCTGATTATTGTTCCTCCCACAGCCATATCTAGAAATGGAGTAAACCTGTGAAACTGGAAGACAGCAGAGGAAAAATAAAATGTTTGGGAAATTTTGCAATTCTGATGTAAACATCAGTCTAAAATTTTCAAGCTAGCAAGATATGAGGCCTGTGCGCACATGACAGCAAATGTTGGCATAAAAAACTGCTAAGTAAAGGAACTACCAGAAAGCTGACCAGAAGGAGGTTCCTTCAGGGTGGTGTACCCAGGAGGGCATGGAACCTCCAAGCCCCTTCCCCTATACCTTGCCCTCTATATCTCTTCTTCTGTATCCTTTGTAATATTCTTTATAATAAACCTATAAACCTCTAGGTGAGGACACACGTAGAGTGCCCGGGGAAGGCAAAGGCTCCAGTGATGTAGAAAATACTGTAGGTCCTGATATTAGGACAGTGTAAATGACCCTGGTTGACAGTGTAAATAACCCAGTAGGGAGTCAACAAGAACATCAACTAATAGCAGGGGCACAGAATGAAGCAAAGAACCAGAAATGGAGCTAACGACAATCCTCAGCCTTGCAAGGCCTCTCCCGCCCCTGTCAGAAGACAGCGGCGCCCGTGGAAGAGTGAGTATGGGAGAAAGGCAAGTCCCGTGGACAGATGCGGAACCCTTTGCTCTCATTTCTCCAGCCGTATTGGGTTCTGTTTACCTGGAGACAAAGAAAGAAAAAGTGAAAGAAAAGTACCAAGTCAAGCTACCACAGCCACTATACAGATAGTGTATTTGAGTCTGAATGCTACCCATTAGCGATGGTTAAACTGTCTCAGAAGAAAATTTTTCCTTTGTTGGAGGAAATTTTCTCTCAGTTCAGGTCCTGGTTGAGCCCTACTTAGTGGTCTCTCAGAGAAGGGGTCCTAATGGTGTTAGTGGGACAAGCTTGTGAGGCTTTGTCTTCCCACTCCAGGAGATGGTGTCCAAGTCATCTGGCCTGAGACCATTGGAGTTTTCACCAGAGAAATGGTTTTGGCTGGAGGTCAGATTCACTTTCCTCAGAGAGCAGCTCTGCTCCACTCCTTTCCCACTCCCTGGCATAGTTCACATTCCTTTAATATCCCATATCTGTGTCTCCTTAGGGGCTCCTTGTGCTCATTTCTGGAGAGACAGCTGAAGCCACCAAAATAGGTGACAAAATCACTAAGTGAGACATCTGTGAGGAGGAAGTCTCCAGGCCTTCAAACACAAGTTATTTTATGAAAGCATAACATCTGAACCTCACACATTCACACAGTATCAAGAGTCCTTTTGCAACTTCACTTCTCAGATGTATAATCTGAAGGGGTTTTTTTTTTACACTTAAAATGACTTTTATAAAATCTGTATTTTGGAAACAAATAATGAAGCCAAGTGAGTAATTCCATAAACAAACACAATCCCTGCGGTCTTATTTAGGGAACTTGACCAAATCTGGTCCCTTTGGGCCAGGCCTTCCTATTCTCTGTGGAAACTGAAACCCCTCTTGGAGTTTCTGGGGATATTGCCATCTGGTAAAAAGATGAGGTTTGAGCTTGGCCCTTTCTTTTCACTTGTGCCATGAAAATATTAATGTCTTGTTGAAGAGGGAGTGGGTTGTCATGATAACCATGACCAGTAGGGTCCATGTGACCTATGTGGAGCCTGGGAACCAGAGAGGCTGTGGCCTGCACAGGCTCGCCTTTCTTCAGTGAATGGGCAGCAGAATAGGGCTACGGGAAATGTCAGTGGCCTCAGAAACCACTGTCAGCAGTCCCCCAGATCTGATAACTCTGGGTCAAGTAGCAAAATCAGGTTTCTTTACTTGCTAAATAATCAGATCTGAAGAAAACTCCTGGCAGAAGAATTCCATGCGGCCCAGTCCAAAAGAGGCAGCCATCTTGACCCATTTCCCTCTTATAAACTCGATATTATAAAAAAATTATTGTCAAACTAATTGATCCCCAAGTGAACAATGAGAATTGCATTCCTTTCACAAAAGTATAAAAACTAGTTTGTCTATACATGTTTTCAGTTAGTCCCTCTCCACTTTTTCACAATTGTTGTACATTAATATTGGAATTAGACCAGGTCAAAATTCGTATGTCATGTTGCTTAATTTCTGCATTCAAGAAATACTCAGAAGATGAAAATGTTAGATGGCTTGGAAAATTCTGTCTAGAACTCTTTAATATCCTACCTAGTGCTACTTCATTCTCTCATATGTAAAAAATGTTTATTAACCATGCATCTTTCAACTTATCCAAAATGAAACACATATTTTATAAAACACCTGTATTTTTTACTTGTCCCACATCTATGAGGATGGTACTTCTGTCTCCTTCTTCAGTACATACATTTTTTTTTCACTTTTTATCAAGAAATATGCATATAGGCCTGGCTCAGTGGCTCATGCCTATAATCTCAGCACTTTGGGAGGCCGAGGTAGGTGGATCACTTGAGGTCAGGAGTTCAAGACCAACCTGGCCAACATGGTGACCCCTGTCTCTACTAAAAATACAAAAATTAGCTGGGCATGGTGATGGGCACCTGTAATCCCAGCTACCCAGGAGCCTGAGGTGGGAGAATTGCTTGAACCTGGGAGGCAGAGGTTGCGTCACCACACTCCAGCCTGGATGACAGAGCAAGACTCCGTCTCAGAAAAAAAAAAAGAGGAAAAGAAATATACATATAGAAAACTGAAAAACATTTATGTTAACAGTACAGTTTAATGAATTATTATAAAGAGAACAACCAAGTGTAACTATCACCCAGATCAGGAAATAGAACATTACTAGTCCCCTATAAATCCCTGGAGTGCCCTTCCCCATCAAAACCATCCTCTCAACTCGGTGCAGTGGCTCACACCTGTAATCCCAGCACTTTGAGAGGCCAGGTTAGGAGTATCACTTAAGCCCAAGAGTTCAAGGTTGCAGTGAGCCGTGATGGTGCCACTGCACCAGCCTGGGCAACACAGCAAGACCCTGTTTCCAATTAAACAACAAACCCCTCTTCTCTCTCCCTAAAAGTAATGATTTTCCTAACTTTTGTGGTAATCATTTCTTTGCTTTTCTTTATAGCTTGCTGTGTTTGCATCCCTAAACACTGTAATCTCATTTTTTTCCTGTTTTTGATCTTCATATGAATGGGATCACACTGCATATGTTCTTTTGTGTCTTGCTGATGCTTCTCAATATTATGTTGTGAGATTCACCTATGTTGCTGTGTGTTGCTGTAGTTCGTTCATTTTCATGGCCATATGATAGTTCATTATAGGAATAGTTTTCTATCTCTAATCTATAATAGTTACTTTGTCGATCTATTCTAATGTTGATGGCTAATTGGGTTATTTCCAGTTTAGGGCAATTGCAAACATTGTTGTTCTAAACATTCCTGGGCACATGTGCATGAGCTTACTATATGCTTTTATTTATTTATTTATTTTTAATTTTGTAGAGATGGAGCCTCAATATGTTGCCCAGGCTGGTCTCGAACTCCTGGCTCCAAGTGATCCTCATGCCTCAGTCTCTCAAAGTGCTGAGATTACAAGTGTGAGCCACCATGCCTGGCCCGAGTTTAGTATATACTTAATAGAACAATGCCTGGGTAATAGCCCTGTGCATCTTCCACATCACTCAAGGCCAGATTGTTCTCCAAAGTGGCTGTAGGGTTTATACTCTCCACAGCACCGTGTGAGTATCTACTTGGCCACATTGGAATTGTTGGACTGTTTAATTTTTGTGTTTTCTTCTTTTAGTGATGATGGATTTAAACAATTAGATTTAACAAAGATTTATTGCATACCTACTAAGAAGTAGTACCTATACTAGAATCTTCTGGATATATATATTTAATCATCATAAAAACCATAATATAAAGGATTATAAAATCACCCCTATAAAGGAGATAATTTTCTCCCCGTTATATAAATAAGGAGATTGAAGCCTGGCCACAGGCCTGAGATTTCCCAGCTGAGGTGCTGGCAGAGCTGAGATGTGAACCCAGGCCTGGCTGACTATAAAGACCGCACTCTCCCCACGCTGCTACAGTCTCCATCCCTGCACCCCGCTTCCCCTCATTCTCACCTGGAAGACAGCTGGCCAGGTTGGAGGCAAGTTGCTGCTGGCCCACATGAGCCCCTCACTGGGGACCAGGCCCTGGCTCTGGCCTCACAGACGCTCTGCTTTAACTAACGAAGTTTACCATCCAAGGAAACGTTGCAGGAAGGTCATGCTGCACTAGCCCAGTAGAATCACAATTCTTCTGTTAGAAATGATTTTTCTTAGATACTCCTTTAACTGTTTTTTGTTGCTTGTTTGTTTGTTTGTTTTTTGAGATGGAGTCTTGCTCTGTAGCCCAGGCTGGAGGGCAGTGGCATGATCTTGGCTCACTGCACCCTCCACCTCCTGAGTTCAAGCGATTTTCCTGCCTCAGCCTCCCAAGTAGCTAGAATTACAGGTGTGCGCCACCACGCTGGCTAATTTTTTGTATTTTTAATAGAGACGGGGTTTTGCCATATTGGCCAGGCTGGTCTCGAACTCCTGACCTCAGGTGACCTGCTTGCCTCAGCCTCCCAAAGTGCTGGGATTACAGGCGTAAACCACCGCGCCCAGCCACCTTTAACTGTTTATTCTGTTTTGTTGAATGATGAGAAGCCCACTTCCTTCTCTCACAGCCTCAGCCTCATTTACTTCTATAAGTCCTTTTGCAGTGGGATCTTTCCTCTCTTACTCTGAGCTACTAGAGGGTAAAGTCTGTCTCCTAGTCCCTTTTCAGAAAAGCACATGTTGAAGGCCCAGGTTGCCCAGGTTGCCCAGGTCAGGAATCAATGTGGAAGAAAGGGCACAGGAACCAGGAGATGTGGCTGCTTTACCCTGCTTCATCCTTGGCTCACCCAACACATTTGACCTTCCTGAGTTTCAATTTCCTCTTTTATAAATGAAAGTGCTGAACTAGAGAATCTCAGACACACTTTCTAGTGCGCTTCTGTGACTATGTTAATGGATTTCTTCAACAAGCATTTACCCAGCACCTTCTGTATGCGCCAGTTTACAAGCAACACTTCTGGCCCGTATCACTGACAGGTAACATTCCACAAAGCTGTTGTGTTTTCCCTTGTTTACGTGTTTGTGGATGTTCACTGCTTCTTCATGGTTTAGCTATTTCTGACCTTTGAACTTAGCTGATTTTTTAGCAAGGGCTGTTTTCTCACTAGACTGGAAGCTTACTGGGGCCAGGCATTGTGTCTAACTGGTCTTTGTATACTCAGCACATAGCAGGCACTCAATAAATGTAGAATGAAGGGAGGGAGGGAGGGAGGAAGGAAGATTTAATCCTTGGACTCTTCCCATATCTATTATATCACTGGGCACAAGAAACAGTTGGTAGTTAAGCCACAGTCCCTGACCACAGAGGGTGCCATTGGTAGCAGGCTCTGACCTTTTACCAAATCAGCAAATCATCAGAGCTATAGAAAATCAGATTATTTTTATCGAAGCTTTTTGCAGGTACCTAATGTAATCATGGCCCTGATAAAGGATGCCAAGTGCTCCTGAGTGCGAAAGAGGAGAGAAAAATACTATAATTAGGTTATTGGACTCATTTGACTTCTAATCATAGAAAATCTACTGCTCTGGGAGATCTTCATTTCTGCTGAATTGGCATTGCCATAAGGCAACTGGTTCTTGTTAGTTTTTGTCA